GCCTGTTATTTATGTGTGTATTATTTGTGGTAATGCCTGTTATTTATGTGTGTATTATTTGTATTAATTCCTGTTATTTATGTGTATATTATTTGTGGTAATGCCTGTTATTTATGGGTGTATTATTTGTGGTAATGCCTGTTATTTATGTGTGTATTATTTATGGTAATGCCTGTTATTTATGTGTGTATTATTTGTGATAATGCCTGTTATTTATGTGTGTATTATTTATGGTAATGCCTGTTATTTATGTGTGTATTATTTGTGGTAATGCCTGTTATTTATGTGTGTATTATTTGTGGTAATGCCTGTTATTTATGGGTGTATTATTTGTGGTAATGCCTGTTATTTATGTGTGTATTATTTGTGATAATGCCTGTTATTTATGTGTGTATTATTTATGGTAATGCCTGTTATTTATGTGTGTATTATTTGTGGTAATGCCTGTTATTTATGGGTGTATTATTTGTGGTAATGCCTGTTATTTATGGGTGTATTATTTGTGGTAATGCCTGTTATTTATGTGTGTATTATTTGTGATAATGCCTGTTATTTATGTGTGTATTATTTATGGTAATGCCTGTTATTTATGTGTGTATTATTTGTGGTAATGCCTGTTATTTATGTGTGTATTATTTGTATTAATTCCTGTTATTTATGTGTATATTATTTGTGGTAATGCCTGTTATTTATGTGTGTATTATTTGTGATAATGCCTGTTATTTATGTGTGTATTATTTATGGTAATGCCTGTTATTTATGTGTGTATTATTTGTGGTAATGCCTGTTATTTATGTGTGTATTATTTGTGGTAATGCCTGTTATTTATGTGTGTATTATTTGTGGTAATGCCTGTTATTTATGGGTGTATTATTTGTGGTAATGCCTGTTATTTATGTGTGTATTATTTGTGGTAATGCCTGTTATTTATGTGTGCATTATTTACATTATATTTAGCTTCAGATTCTTCTATATATATATGAGGTCTTCTTTAAATAATTTAAAGTAAAGTGACCATGTTGATCTCATTTATCTTTTGAACTTTAGTAGAGAATCCAATATATACAATAAGTATAATCAAAGCATCGTTGATGTTGTGATCCAGCAATATTCATAGCTAGTCTCATATTCTTTCTGACCATACTTTTTTCTTAATTTTTTTCTCTTTTCATTTCAAATCTTACTGTAAAATTTCTATGTTATTGTCCAAATGTAGGGAATTTCGCAATATTGATGCAAATAAAGATATATATACTGATCTTTCAATTTTAGACTCTGTCAGATTTGATTTTTGACAAGAATGGAAAGGAAAATCGTCAAACAAGTAATATATTTTTTATATGCCTTTAATAATGACAGGTTTAATAATTTCCAGAAAGAGGCCTTATAAATGCACTTTCTCAACAACAAAAATTAAAAAGAATAATAAATAATTTTTATCTAAATTGGTATTCATTCTTCATTAAGAAAAATACATTTCCTGTATTCAAATCTGAATGTACAAATACCTAATGCTGAGATATTTCCAATTACTGTTAAATAGCAATATAATGGGATATAAATGTAAAACAAACAAATACATTTTATTGCAGAAAATGCTCAGGTAAGAGTTATGCAATTTTGTTTAATATTTCAACCAAATTTCTGATAATTGTAACTAATTAATTAGAACTTGATTTATTGACTTATGTCAGATGATAATTGCACTGATTTTACAAGTAAAATAAAAATTGCTTGCATTTTTTATACATATTTTTTTCATTTTAAGTATTTTCTTTGAAAAAAAACCACATCAGATTAATCATTCAGCTACCTAGCAAAATTAACAGAATATTTCGATGTAGTGTAGGTAAAAAAAAAATAATACATTTGTAGGTTTACTATTGAGGTCAAGAATGTGTGTATTCATTTAGGTGTGTAATAAATTGTGTCTATTTAATTATGTAACAGGTCATGAGATATTTTAACTGTTTTGAATTAAGCCTGGGGTTGTTTCTAATTAATACTTATTTGAAAATCATGACAGTTACTACTCATTCGGACTCTTCCTTGCCTATGGAAAAAATTGGAGTAATACCATTGTAAAAAAAGTGTGGGAATCAACTTAAATATATTAATACACATGTAGACCTACATTTCATTGAACAATAATTTACACAAACACAAGATACTTATATAATACTTTCAAAATTCTTATCAACTGATTCAATTGATGTACAAATACTTTTCCAAATTAATTGATAAATAGTAAATCATCATAAATTTTGCCTTAGAAAGGAACTATATGCAAGTGTATATCTAAAATAAAGTCACTATTCGAATAATCTTTTCTTAATTTAAGGGCAAATAACATGTCAAAAGTTTGCAGTTGATGATTAAAATGGTGTAGAAAGTTTCTGCAAGTCATAAAAACACATAATTAGTTTCATGATATGTCTTCAACTTAGTATTCTGCACCATCTCCAAAACCAGAGTGATCGCATAGATCCAGCATGGCTGAATCAAAAATAAGATGTGGTAAGACTGCAAGTGAGACAATTACATCAATAATGTTACCAACTTTATTGCACTAGATGCGCATTTCGAAAATTAATATCTCTTCGATGATGTTCAAAGCTAAAACATTTGAAAACCCAAAATGTAATACAAATGTTGAAGAGCAGACAAAACCATAAGGACCAAAAGTAAAAGCCAAACCAAACTATTCACAAGAGACAAAATGAGTTAGTTGTTAGCAACTAATAGGTCATTGTACGTCCCTCAACAATGAGCAAAATCTATACCACAAAGTAAGCAATAAAAGGCCTCAACAGAACAAAATGTAAAACAATTCAAACCAGAAAGCTAACGGCCTGATGTATGTACAAAACAATAAAGGAAAACCAAATATGATAGACAGAGACAAACAACAACTAGGCTCCTGACGTGTTCTACCTCATATATTGACTTGCACATAGAAATGACATTTAAGGCCTGTTGAACACTTCACTATCAGATGGACTTATTTTTTCTCCAAGTGAACTTTCTATTTCTATGTTCCAACATTTCAGCAGCAATATTCCAGTGCTTGTGTTTTCTATCAGTGTCTACAGAGGGTTGCTACTTTAATACAAAGAGCCTATCAAATAAAGGGCTCATAGCACTTAAGTTTGAGTCATTTTTTTCAAAAAAATGTATTGATGCTTCATTCTTCAAAGTTGCATCCCACTTTCCTTTCATTATTTATAATTAGCAATTAATATAATGTTTAACACCCAATGACCAGAGCGTTTGGATGTAATAGCCGATCGAGACTGGGTTTATGCTGCTTAATTTTTTTGTGGAATGTAAAGCTTCTTCAGTAATGGTGTATGATTGGTAGAAATGCAGGATAGTTTAAGAAAGTTATTAAAATTTCAAAAACTTTAACCACAGAGTGAATATTTGTGGACGACGCCGACAACAACGGAATGTAGGATCGCTATGTCTCACTTTTGCGACAAAAGTAGCAGGCTCGACAAAAATGAACCTCAGATTACTTCACCGACCCTTGCTCTGATTTGATCCACAACTTAACATTTTTCTGATTGCAAAAAATATATCTGAGTCGGTTTCCAATCTTCCAAAACCATAAATGTTATTGTCTGTTATAAATATTTGGCTATACTGTGGATTCATAAGTGTTGGTGGGATAACAATTATCATTGCTTTTGTATATATAGGTAAACCACAATTCAAATGTTCATTGAAGGTCAAATTGTCTACATTGAAGGTCAAATTGTCTATAGTTACAGTTGTTTGCAGACATTGTTAAAACCACAGGGTATGGGAGGATTGGTGCTCCCGCAAACATGTTTAACCCTGCCATATTCTGTATGTGCCAGCCCAAAGTCAGGAGCCTGTAATTCAGTAGTTGTCCTGTGTTGCTGTATATCATATATGATTTTCGTTTATTGTATGTCCATAATTCAGGCTGTTAAGTTTCTCATTTGAATTGTTCTACATTTGTCATTTCTTGGCCTTTTATAGCTTGCTGTGTGGTATGAGTTTTGTTCATTGTTGAAGACTGTACAGTGACCTATAGTTGCTAATCTTCTACATCATTTGCTCCTTGGTGGAGACTTGTCTCATTGGCAATCATACCACATCTTATTTTTATAAAGACGATGCATGTATCATTTAATCATATTCAATACATTGTTTCAATACATGAATCTCATATGAAATCAAATATAAACTAAAACTAAAGAAGAGATTGAATAATTGTCAAATGAGCTTTTCTTCTCATTGCATATAGTAGGATTAACTAAGAGGCACCTACTTATTCAAAGTTGCAGTCTAAATGATTCTCAAGTTTTTACAATGATATCAACAGATATGCACATTGACAATGAAGGTACTCAAATAGTTCCTTCGTAAAACTAAAAATTCATAAGGGTTCCCGAACTTCCGTGGAACCCATTGTCTCGCCTACTTTTGCTGTTGTCTATGTTTTCAGTGTGATAGGGGAATGCACATAATAGATTTACAGTTAATGAAATGGTTTATGAATATAATAAATGTTTTAAAAATTTTAACTGCAGACTGTATGTAAAATGTTAACTGGAAGAAAAAGTAAGTCCATTTATAAGTAATATACGGAAAAACAGGAAATAAATTTTTACAAAATTTCCTTCTAGATACTAGCTTTTGATCATAAACAAGCTTCTGTCCAAGTTTGGTACAAATCCAGGATAGTTTAAGAAAGTTATAAAAATTTTAAAAACTTTAACCACAGAGTGAATATTTGCAGACATTGTTAAAACCACGATATCCTATATCAATGAAAACGAAATTGTTCTTCAACCCACAAAAATTGGTATAAACAAAAATAAATTAATCACCAGTACAACATCTGACTGTCTGATTAAAATTTGAGAACACAAAAATAATAGTCAGTCTGTTTGTTCATAATGCTTTAACAGAAAGAACCCTTCAACAACAGCACTAATTTCCATGCTTGTAATTGAAAAAACAAAATATATTTTTCTTGACTTTAATAATTCTTTATTAAATAATTAGTTAAATAATATAATCTTTATTATCATTTTCTTTTAAATAGTCATTATATAAAACATTATGCTTTGACAAGATTTGTTTTGGTTCTTCTGATTTTGTGGATGATTTGTTGATTGGTTGGTCATAAGATGTATCCTCACACGCCAGTGCTGCCAGATGATTGATCATTAAACTGAAATGTTAAAATAAGATAAAGTTGGATGTTTTTCTTTAAGTTCTCACTATATTAACTATACCAAAAACCTAATTAAAGTTTGCATGGTTGAAGATGTTACATGAAAGGTTTTAGAAGTCATAAATGTTTATACTGTAATTAAATTCAGAAATTATTATGTGCATATATATATATAGTGGTTGTTAGAAAATCAACATAAATTCGAGTTCAGTTATTGTGAATTCAAGAAATGCTGCATACAAATAATGCTATCAATATATAAAATGCAAGTTTTATTTTTGCGACACCAATATCTTGTCACAATTTTCGCTGTTATAAAATCATTGCAAAATTTCTGAATTTACAGTATCTAGTACAAATACATGTGTAAATGGTTTTGTTTCAATTTTTACAATAGATCACAGGGCCAAGTCTCATAAAATTTTCATTTTTTGGTTAATATTAGAATATTAAAGGTATGTCCTGATGAGACATCAACTCATCAATGACACAAAAAACTACAAGACATCTAATTGAAAGGTCCAAATAACTATGATCTACTTTACTTGCTGCAAAAACACAAAAATGTGGAAAATCTTATTTCAAGGGCAATAACTCTTAAAGGGGTCAATTGACAATTTCAGTCATGTTCTGTTATTTGTAGATCTCATTTTGCTGAAAATATTTGCTATTTACAATACCTCTCTATCTATTATAGTTTCTGCAAAAAACAAAAAAATGGTACAAAACATCTTTCAAATGTAATATAACTCCTACAAGGGGTCAATTGACAATCTTGGCTATGATGACTTATGTGTAGATGTTATTTTGATGAACATTTTCCTAATGTACAATTTCTTTCAAACTATAATACTTTCTGAAAAAACAAAAAAAAAGAGAAAAAAAAAAACTTCTTTCAATGGTATCAACTCCTATACGGCTTCAATTTATGATTTTGATCATTTGACTTATTTGTAGATTTTATTTTGCTTAAAATTTTTACTATTCAAAGATTCTCTCATCTAAAGTTTCAGCAGAAAAGGGTAAAACCCATCATTCGAGGGCAGTACTCCTATGTGTGGTCAATTGACAATTTGAGACTTATTTGTATATTTTATTGTATTGGTAATTTTTATTATTTTAAGTTTCTCTCTCTATATATAGTTTTCAAGATAATCGAAAACTGCAAAATTTGCTAAAAAAGGACATGTCTAGTGCAATAACTCCAAAATAGGTGGTCCCATTTTTCTGAAAATCCCACAGAAGATAGAATTTGACTTACTGATCATTTAACCATGTCTGGTTTGCTCTAACTGCTTAGTTTTTGAGATATAACCTAAAACCTGTAAAATTTGCTAAAAATTTATATGTCAGGGGCAATACTCAAATATGGGTTTTCTGAAAATTCCACAGGAGATAGACCTTGACCCAGCTAATCTTTTTTACCTTGTACATTTGCTAAAACAACTTTACTTTTTTACATATAAGCCAAAAACTGCAGTTTAACTTCTATATTCTATTTTTAGCAACAAAGGCCATGTTTTTGATTGATCAAAATCCCTGCAAAGATATTTCCTTAAAGAATATTCAGGTTAAGTTTCGTAACATTCAGCCAAATAGTTTCAAAGGAGAAGATTTGTTTTAAAGTTTACAACAATGGACACAATTGATGGTAAAAAAGGGCACATGGACCTATACAGAAAAGTAAAAACTTGTAAAACATTTACATACCATGCCGCATGTTCTGCTGTTAGGATGTCATTAAATAGAGACAGGGATATCACACTGGTTATTATCTGTAAAATAGAGACAGGGATATCACACTGGTTATTATCTGTAAAATAGAGATAGGGATATCACACTGGTTATTATCTGTAAAATAGAGACAGGGATATCACACTGGTTATTATCTGTAAAATAGAGACAGGGATATCACACTGGTTATTATCTGTAAAATAAAGACAGAGCTGTCACACTGGTTGTTATCTGTAAAATAAAGACAGAGATTTCACACTGGTTGTTATCTGTAAAAAAGAGATAGAAATATCACACTGGTTGTTATCTGTAAAATAGAGACAGAGATATCACACTGGTTGTTAACTGCTAAATAGAGACAGAGATATCACACTGGTTGTTATCTGTAAAATAGAGACAGAGCTGTCACACTGGTTGTTATCTGTAAAATAGACACAGAGATATCACACTGGTTGTTATCTGTAAAATAGAGATAGAAATATCACACTGGTTGTTATCTGTAAAAAAAAGACAGAGATATCACACTGGTTGTTTACTGTAAAATAGAAAAAACAATATCACACTGGTTGTTATCTGTAAAATAGAGACAGATATATCACACTGGTTGTTATCTGTAAAATAGAGATAGAAATATCACACTGGTTGTTATCTGTAAAATAGAGACAGAGATATCACACTGGTTTTTATCTGTAAAATAGAGACAGAGATATCACACTGGTTGTTAACTGTTAAATAGAGACAGAGATATCACATTGGTTATTATCTATAAAATAGAGACAGAGATATCACACTGGTTGTTATCTGTAAAATAGAGACAGAGATATCACACTGGTTGTTATCTGTAAAATAAAGACAGAGGTAGCACACTGGTTGTTATCTGTAAAATAGAGACAGAGCTGTCACATTGGTTGTTATCTGTAAAATAAAGACAGAGCTGTCACACTGGTTGTTATCTGTAAAATAAAGACAGAGCTGTCACACTGGTTGTTATCTGTAAAATAGAGACAGAGATATCACACTGGTTGTTAACTGTTAAATAGAGACAGAGATATCACACTGGTTGGTATCTGTAAAATAGAGACAGAGCTGTCACACTGGTTGTTATCTGTAAAATAGACACAGAGATATCACACTGGTTGTTATCTGTAAAATAGAGATAGAAATATCACACTGGTTGTTATCTGTAAAATAGAGACAGAGATATCACACTGGTTGTTAACTGTAAAATAGAAAAAACAATATCACTCTGGTTGTTATCTGTAAAATAGAGACAGAGATATCACACTGGTTGTTATCTCTAAAATAGAGACAGAGCTGTCACACTGGTTGTTATCTGTAAAATAGAGATAGAAATATCACACTGGTTATTATCTGTAAAATAGAGACAGAGATATCACATTGGTTTTTATCTGTAAAATAGAGACAGAGATATCACACTGGTTGTTAACTGTTAAATAGAGACAGAGATATCACACTGGTTGTTATCTATAAAATAGAGACAGAGATATGACACTGTTGTTTTCTGTAAAATAGAGACAGAGATATCACACTGGTTGTTATCTGTAAAATAGAGATAGAGATATCACACTGGTTGTTATCTGTAAAATAGAGATAGAGAGATCACACTGGTTGTTAGTTGTAAAATAGAGACAGAGATATCACACTTAGTTGTTAACTGTAAAATAGAGACAGATATATCACACTGGTTGTTTTCTGTAAAATAAAGTTAAAAAATATTAAATAGTCAGAAAAGACTTCCAACAGAGTATATATCATGCAATGTCCATACAAATGTCTTTGGATTTCACTTATCAATTAAGAATTAAGAGAGGGCCTCAGTTACTAAAGGGTAAAAGTTGTTCATCTACAGTTATCATTAGCCTGTCAACACTGAGGTTGAGAGGTTGAGAGGTTGAACCCTGTTTGTGGTAGGTGTGTTCGACTCTGATCTTAAATGACTAGGATTGCCAATTTTTCAGCAGAAGGTTTGTGGGTTCTTGCTGGGCACTCCAGCTTCCTCCACAAATAAAAACTGGCTAGGCACTATATCATGGTACCATGATATAGTCAATTAGAGTCCAGAAAGTGGCAATAAACACCAACAATCAATTTTGAAATCAACATAAAAATTATTTTATTGATATTGAATCCAACATACAAAACAACAATACACATGCATATATATGAACCTCCCGACAATTATCTGTTTTCAGGAGTCTCCTCTCGTCCTCCTGTTGAAGAGAAAAAAATCCTGAGTACAAAACATTTTGTGAATGAAAATTTAAGGCGCCATTTTTTACTACGCTGTTTACAAATGTTTTTTATTCAAGAAGTAAAAACCCAAGAGTATCGCACATATCCAGTGTAACTGACCTGATTACGCAACATGTATAGATTTTGACCTGATCTGTGGCTAATTAACGAGTGACAATAGTTTGAATTAACAATAAACAGGTGATATTAATTACTCTATATGGCTTCTGTTTATGGCACACACCAAGGATGACTATAGGTAAATACCGGCATTGATAGAAAAGTGGAATGTAGTTGTCAAAACATCGATTGGATGGTTTTGATGCAGAAAAAATCATTTAATTAATTTCAACTCAGCATTGAAATACTCGCTATTTCACACTCCAATGCGGACATTAAATGACCTTCAGCATGCTCAAGAAGATTCAAACTAAAAATAAAGAACTACACAAACTGTTACCAGGATCAGGATTACTTTAGTACAGAGTCAAGTGTATTACAGGCAGCCAAGTTGGCTTGTACTTCTTACGGGACCCAGTGTTTCAAGACCAGTGCTTTAGTTATAAAATAACATTTGTCAATGTAATATAGACAGTGCTTTAGCTAATATATTTTACAGTGTTACAATAACAGTCTCAAGTTTTCTACCAAAATGGCTTCATTAATGCTTAAAATCCATGCATAACTATTGTTATTGTTTGTTAATTTTTCTTCTATTTATCATGTTATAAATGTATAGCATATTTCTTTCTTATACACCTATGCCAATGACATTGAATACAAATAAAAAAGATTGAGTCAAGAATAAAACACTATGCTTTAATTTTCTCTTTATACTCAAAGGAAAGGTTTACTTAAATCATAGTACTTTATTTACAAGCAGTCAATAATCAAAAACAAAACCAGAAACAGAATCTTCTCAATATTTCTTTCACCTGATATCATTCAAATAGACAGGCTACAACTGGTACTGTAAACACATTGATATACTGCATTCAGATGAAAGATTAGAGAACAAACACTCTAAAAGACAATTTTTACACCAGTTGGTTACATTTACGACAAAATTTATGTCAATAAAAAACCTCCTGATCTGAGGTCTAAACTCCTGACCAACATTTCCCAATCTCCTGATCTGAGTTTCATAGTTCATCACACGTATGAATAGAAAAAGCTGACTTTAAGCAAAAAAATCATTGCTATTATTCTAAATTTTGCTTTGATCTATTTGTGTAATAATACAATTTCTATCACAAGCTATTGAACTGAGAATGTTTTTTTTCCCGTTTGAATAGAGCGAGAACACAATGACTTCTTATGCCAAGGTCATTGAAATTGCCTAGGAAAATAGCGATAAACAGATAACCTATGGTCTATCAACTTGAGGAAGTTTATTTCAGTCAGTGATGTGCAAGCAGGGGGTCAGTGTTATTTGTTGTTGTTGATAGTTCGTCGACTTCCACAGAATAGTGCATCAAAATAACTTATATCCCCTGAGAGGCTTTTTACCTCACACTTACTTACTGCAGGATTATTCTTCAATTTAATTTAAAGAAATTAACTCAAACATAAAGCTGAATCAAATAATTCAGTGATGCATACATGAGTCATTTTTAAAGAATCTTTCACTAGGACACAGCTATTATACAAATTTGTGATTTTGCAATACTCCTGTAATTCCCACTAATTTCTCCAAGCAAAAAAATCATTAGAAAATACTTAAAACTATAAATAACAACTACCTTAACTAGGCCATGAATTCTGGAGAATTCCATCACTCCATCTGAAGCTTTTTCTTGTAGACGTATTGTATAGAGATTCAATAGTACTCCAAACACTCCACTGAAACAGATCATACAATTGTAAAGATATCAGTAGGGCTTCGTTTAAAAGGATGTTTTGAAAAATTTCAATAAGCTTAAACATATTCTATGCGTATTATCACATACTTTCATATTATATATAAATATTGATCCTATTGAAAAGCACATGTGTGGCTCCAACATGATCACATCAGACTTGGGACCTTGCAACCTGTCGTCTCATTTAAAAGACCTGTGACCTTTAAAATGTTCAAAATTTTACTTTTAAGACTTCCTTAAATTTGCTTAAAAGTGACCTGATGACCTGAGATATTTTTAAAAGCGACCTTGCGACCTAAAGGGGGTATACCCTACTGGAGCCACACATGTCACAACCAATATATGGTAAAGAATTTGTAAGTTTCTCAAAATGAAATTCAATGCTTTTGATTAATTTTCATATTTATTCTATTAACTAAGGTATATTATTAATTAATGTTAATTAAAATATAAGAATACAATAGATAACCGCCCTCTTTATCAGTTGCCTTGTGAAATACATATTATATACTTTACTTCAACAGCAACTTTTAAAAATTATGGCAAAAATTGTCAAACTTTGTCCAAAAAAAAAACATGTACATATTTATACATTCAGCTTCTAAATACATATGACTTTTTTAGTCTATCTATATCTGAAGATAAATAGAACTCAAAAAAACTATCACATTAATAAGCAAACTCATGTAATTCATATATTAATTAATTCAGATGTTTAAAATTTTATTATACATGTGACAATACACAAAAATTGTTCTCCCTCAGGAAGCAATAATTTTTGGATTCTACATGTTCTAGTCCAGTATCATAATTTCTATTATCAGTAATCACATCTACTCATTGAAGACAAAGATCTATCAAAATACAGTACTGATTTATGGGGAAAGTTAAATTCTGCAAAGAATGCAAATGGTGTGGAAAAAGGGAAACTGGTAATCAATCTTTTTTTAGGCAAACATGGCAAAAGATGCATAAATTAGGTAAATTTTATTGAATTTTATGTCTGTATAGTTTCTTTCCCAGTAATAACCCACGTAAAATAACTTTAGAATCCTACATCATAAACTTGATTTTTCTAACTATCTTTCAAGTAAATAAGGCATATTTGTTACACAAACAAAATATGACCAAATACCTTCACTTAAGGTAGATTTAAGTGTTTTCTTTGGCCATCCTGGACTGTAAAAATTGCAGAAAACAATTAGTTTAGATCTTTAATGAAAAATGCAATTTTATATAGGAAATGTGATTTATTTGTAAGCCTTTTCTTCGAAATGAAGAAATTGCGTATTTTATCTTATCATTGAGAATGTTTTTGTCAAAAAACATTTCATTTTTTTAATTCAATTTTTTTGGTGTGATATTAGGGGAGATAACTCAGATAATCCAATTGTAAAAAGGAAAGTGTAATACATTTATCAATGTTATTTTGTTTCGTCATGAGAAAATGAGTCCCCTGACCCCAATTTTAATTTTCTCATAATTTATTTTAAAGTTCTATCATTTAGTTTTCTTTCTTTTAATTTTCATGTACAATGTATAATCTATACAAAATCTGACAATATTGCACAGCCTTTAGCTTGAAAAAAGCTCAGTGACCCATACATTATAATTATACTTTAACAAAAGCTTGATATAAATAAACTACATTTTGGCAAAGTATTAAAAAATTTGAACATTTATAATATAGACCCCCATATGATCTATCTAAATTAGTTAAATTTGCATTCAATTGTGTTAAATCTCACCTTACACAACATCCAACATAGAACTTAGAAAAATACAGGTATGGATACTTCACAGCTTCTAATGCATCCCCTGCAAGAAAAATAAGGTATTTATTTAAGATATTACAACAAAAGTCCCTTTGTTTTAAAAAGAAAAAAAATTTACAAATGATTCAACTACTGTAAATTCAGAAATTATTGCGAGGTTTTTATTATTGCGAAAAATGCGACAGAGTTGTAAACGCAATAATTTAAACTCGCATTTTGAAATATTTTATATGAATTAAACATGATTTTTCTCAAAATCGTAAAAATTTAAATCGCAATTAAGTCTAAAATTACAAAATCGCAATAATAAATGCACGCAATAATTTCTGAATTTACAGTACCATCTTTCATGAATGTTGCTTTCACATCCACTGCATTACAAGTAAGATGAATAGTTGTCTTATTGTTTTTGCACTCATATCACATCTCCTTATTTTTATATTATCTTAAAAAAAAGAAAGAAAAACTTTTAAAAACCTACCTAAATATGATAAAAAACAACATAATTCAAAACAACCATTTCTTCATCTATCACAAGAAATCAATTCAAAAGTGCTTTTTGAAATAAAATCATTATGTGGTCAATACTTTTCCCAAATTAATCCGAGTAAATAGAATAAAAAACAATCAACCAAAAGACTGTCATTTTGTAGAGTTTTTCTTTACAGCAGTTGACAGTAGGCTTCTGTAAGGCATGAGAGTAACCATGATGTGGACATTCAGTCAAGCTTAACATACCCCCACTCGTTACTCAAAGTATCAGAAACAGGTAGTATGTGTCTGACAGATCTGAAAAGGGAACAAATATTACAATTCATCACTATTGAGCTGCCGACTTAATATGAAATCATTCATTCATTAGTTTCGGAGAAAAGTGTGACAAAAATTTTAAGTTCATACAACTTATTGAAAAATTCAAAATATCGGCAAATAGGATGAAGGTATCTGACAGATCAGAAAAGTGCTCACAAGTGTCAACTCATCACTGTCAAGCTGATGACAAAAGTCATTCTGTATTGTAGTTTCTGAGAAAAGTGTGATGAAATATTTGTAAGATGAACAGATGGACGAACAGCCAGACGGACAAGGTGATTGCAATATAGCCCCGGCTTTTAGAATAGGGATACAATATGAATTATTTTCTTCATTATTATCATCTAACATTGATGCCTTGGCTGCGGTTCTTCACCAGCAGTTTCGTAAAACTTCTGACCAGTGGAAAAGTTTGATTCGATGAAACAAATTGCAATTGGGTAAGAATTTTGAATGAATTGCAGTTGGCAGAATGAAAAATTTACAATCACTGTAACATAGTGATTTTTTTGGCATAATTCAATCATTTAATTACCCAAGCTGAGTTGCCCTTATAAGATTCTCAAATTAGACATGAAATATTAATCAGAGAAATTCTATTAATTTTTTCTTAAGTTCTGCATTACATGTGACACTGGTTGAAAAACTTGTATTCTATTTTATTCAATTACAGTAAAAGAATTGTAATTTTTTTTTAAATGAATTAAAACAAGAGTTTTGCAGGAAAAAAGGTTAAAACTTTGACACATAATTATAAGTAAGTCTAAAAGAATTTGGGGTCTCTCCAGATCACAAAATCAATATTCATATATATATACCATTACTTGAATCAAATTAAATAGCGGATTTTTGTAACTATTTTTAAGACAATTAAGTGTGAATGTTGCAGGGCCATAATTTTAGACTGTTAGACTGCTAGAGATTAATTGACTGCATGTCTTCTCCAACTAAATCTGTCTTCTATCACCCTCAAATCTAAACTACTACCCTTAGCTTCAGACTTTGGGGAAGAGTTTAGTGTTTGGATCATAGAAAAAAACACTGTCATCAAATTTCAATAACTATATAGTGCTACGAATTGCTTTGTAACGTTGCTGTATACAATCTAAGAGTTACATAAATAATAAATAACTGCTTTGTAACATAGCTGTACACAATCTAAGAGTTACATACCTAATAAATAACTTGATGGAGTCAATATAACTATGCTGAAAATAAAAGAATATTTGTTACTGAAAAGTCATGTCATTTATAAGTATGAGATAACATACCTGTCAACTGACCCGTATTTTGTGGGTCACACCTGTAAATTTCCCCTCTCACCCTGGATTTTTAAATACCTGACGGGTGATCAAATAACCGAGGAATTCAGAAAATGACCTGTTTTACCCGTATTTCTGACATGTATTGATTCCAGTATTTAGAAGTAAAATATACATTCGGTTTTATCGGCTTTAATCCTTTGAAAAAGAAAAAAATTGAGAAGTAAAAACTTTGGATTTGCTTATTTACCATGCTCTTCATTGGATTAATACAGTTATCAAAACATATTCTGACACTCCTTTGATTGAAAAGTAACATTTCGCTTATTATCTTGTTAATAGTACCCCAGAAAGTTGAAGCCAGTCAAGCTTGACATACATTAATTCTAATTGATATTGGAACTATCTATAAATTACTTATTGATGTCAAACCCAGTTGGTGGCTGGCAGCAGTTGTTACTGGCAGACCTTATACAGTATGGGGGTGAAAGGGTTTTACATCTACAGAAAGAAAAGCTGATTGAGATTTCTAAAAAATGTAAAAATCCTTTCTGGAAGGATGTTTTACTATGCTTTTCTAACGCAAAACCTAATACTGAGAATTCTGTCAGTGACATTTTATCATTAGATATTTTGAATTTTTCTTCTTTGGATGATTTCCCATATTATATTCAATGGAAACAAGGAGGTGTGCAGTCAGTAAGTGACCTAATTAATAAAGAAAATATGAATTTTTATAAATTTGAGCAATTTCAAGAAAGAGTAAAACTCAACAATTTTATCAAATATCATGGTCTGATTTAAAGAATCCCTCAGACTATGAAAAAATACCTTAAAGAGAACTGTTTAAAGCAAGATTTGGATAAGCCTGATAATGGTGATATTTTTTTAAAGAGAATTATAGGTAATGTGAAAGCCAAATTTGTATATAAAAATTTAGTAAATAAAGTTATTGAACTACCAACAGTCAAGTTTTCGAAATGGGAAGAACTGTTGATTATTGATACAACAGAATAGTCAGAATATTTCAGGATAACCAAAAAATCATGTAGAGATGTTTATTTAAGAACTTTTCAATACAAATTTTTGCATAGAATCATAGCAACTAATACCTTTTTATACAAAATTAAATTTAACGACACCAAGATGTGTACTTTTTGTAAACTTGGTGAAGAAACCATTGAACACCTTTTTTTTGAATGCCCAATAACTTTTCAATTGTGGCAGTCTTTTTCAAATGCAGTAAAACTTTTTTTTGTAAACTTTGTTCTTAACAAAGAGAATGTGTTTCTTGGTTGCAAACATGAAAGTTTATTACTGAATCTGTTAGTCATAATTACAAAAAACTATATATACAAATGTAAATTAAATGAAACAAAACCAAATATGGTTGGGTTAAAGAATAGAATAAAGAAATACCAATTTCTTGAATATTGTATTGCAAAGAAAAATAATAGAGTCCAAGTGTGTGAAAAATTTTGGTCTCCTTTGCATGTAATATTTAATTAATTATTGTTTCATATAAGTGAGAGAATAAAATATCTATATATCATGAGCAAATATTTAGCCTTGAGTTTTTTTTGTTTTTTTTTTCTTTAAAATATTTTGTTTTTAAAATGTAAGTCAAGATACATCATGTACCTATTGTAGCAAAACAAATGAGTGAAGAGTATTTGTATTGTATGAGAGAAAGTCAGAGAGCGAGAGAATATAATCAAATAAAATTTATATGTAACCTTAAATACTACATGTATAATTATAAAAATCAACTTGTCAGTGATATATATTGTATACTGAATTATTTTTTATATGTAACCCCTTGATACCCTTGTCAGGTGGTAGTGTAGGGGTACATGTATGTTAATTCTGACTATTGAAAAACAAATAAAAGATAAAAAAATAAATTACTTATTAACTAATTGGTGATTACTTCATTACAATCTTTTTCAGCTTGATAACACCTTCTTTTCCATACTTTCACAAGCAGAAAAACAAATACATGTTTTGTCCTATTAAGCATATCACAATTCGTAATTTAAAGTATTGGCAAAAAGAAAAGTGGTTTCTGAAAGATCCAAAAAGTACAAATCATTAGTCACAATGCTGACTAAATATGAAGTCATAAATTTAAGTAGTAGGTGAGAAAAATGTGACAAATATATTTAATGGACAAACAAATGAACAGAATAGAAGAAGTGGATGCAAACATTTAATTTTGGGTTTCTTCCTCATTTAAGAGTAATTTTTGGGCATAAAATTAAAAATAAATGTAATTAAGCTTTGCACATAATTTTAAAAAGTGTAACCTTATCTGCCAATAGACTGTTCAACTAACCTGTATATGTAATTACAATAAAGTTTCTCCACAGCACTGGAAATAGAACAACACATAAATATATAAAATAAGCTAAGACACTGCATTAATACTGTACACCCCCCCCCCCTTTATAAATTCTTATAACTGTGCTTTTATTACAATTCTAATTGAACAATAAAATGTTTGACCAAAGCTGATAAGACTTTTATAGGCAGGTACCACATCTGGAGCAGGATCTGCTTGCCCTTTCAGAGCACCTGAGATCACCCCTTGGTTTTCGTTGGGGTTTATGTTGCTCAGTCTTTAGTTTTCTATATTGTGTTTTGTATAATGTTATTTGTCTTTTGATTGTCTTTTGTCATTTGCTTTGCTACGGCATTGTTGGTTTGATTTTGACTAATAGGGTTAGAATATCCCATCAGTATCTTTCGTCTCTCTTTTACAGTATTTACACGGATTATATTCATTATAAAGGACAAAGTTAAATTTCACAAAGCCTGATAATTGGTTTCCAATGTTTTCTAATCTGCTCTAATGTGGCCAGTTTTATCAACCAACACTGATTTTGAAAACATGAAATGTTTCATTGACAAACTGTCAACTTTATCAAAATAAAGTCATGAAAAAGATAATGTTAAAAAACAAACAAATATTGACAGCCTCATTTTGTCTCACATTATTTAAAACTACTTCAGAGCCTGTGTCGCTCACCTGCATCTTCAACAGGCCACTTTTTAGTAAAAAATCATCATTAAAGGGGAACAAATCTATTAAGAGTTAACTGACAATTTCAGTTATGTTGACATATTTGTAGATCTTATCCTGCTGATAATTTTTCCTTTCTTAAGTTTCTGTTTATCTATCTTTTTTTTTACCAAAAAAAAATGTAAAAATTATCATTAAAGGGCCATAACTCTAACAACAAGTCAACTGAAGATTTCGACCATAAAGGCTTATTTGTAGATCTTGTCTTGATGATTGTTTGTTTTATTTAAAGTTTCTATCTATCTATTAAATAGTATGAGGAGAATAGGCCAAAATGGGGAAAATCAGAAAAATCGACATTAAAGGGCAATAACTTCAATAAGGAGTCATTTTTAGTTTTTTAAGGTTTCTATTTATCTGTTATAGTTTTTAAGAAATTAAGCAAAAATACAAATATTTGGTAAAAATGATTAATAAAGGGCAATAACTCTAATAAGGAGTTGTCTGACGATTTTGGTTGTGTTTACTTATTTGTACATCTTGTCTTGCTGATCATTTCTGTAATCAAAGTTTCTGTTTATAATTTTCGAGATAATAAGGAAAAAAATAAAAAATGGTAAAATTCGTCATTTAAGGGCAATAACTCCTATAAAAAGTTGTCTGACAGTTTTGACTTAAATGGACAATAGTAAGGGCTAAACATTTTGAACATTTGTTCTCCTGTCAGAATTTCTCTATTCATAATGATTTTCAAAATAATAAGCAAAACTTGTATTTTACCCCTATGTTCTACTTTTTGCCATGTGGGTCATCTTGGTTTGCAGGCGGGATCATCAGATACATTGTTCAAACTAGATACCAAAATGATGCTTATGGCCAGGTTTGGTTAAATTTGGCCTAGTGGTTTAAGTGGAGAAGATTTCGTAAAAGTTGACAACGACGACAATGGACGACAGACATCAAGTGATGAGAAAAGCTCACTAGGCTTTTTGGCCAGATGAGCAAAAAAAGTAGCAACATGATTTGCCTTAATTGACGATAAAATGTTAATCTGTATCTGTTGGTTCATTTTATCTAAATAACAATAAGGGCTGTTCATTTAAAAAATATGCAAAGGACACTTTTCAAATGGGGTAACCACCTAAAGAGGAAAACATAGAATTTTCCTTACATTTTCACTGTACTTGAAACCCACCCATAGTGGAGTTTCAAAGTCCCATCGATTACTGGGTTCCATGTATGCATGTATGCTTTACAGAACAGCCTTAACAATAAATCAGCTAGTTATATACTAGTATTGTTGTAGCATGTCTTTTTAATTAAGAATTAATTAAATCTAGACATGTGATATACCTTATCTTCAATCTTCCCTTTGTCATATTTGTATATAACATCAATAAACCTAAAAATAAGAAAAAGATGCATATCTTATATCAACCCGACTAATTTAGTCCCTTCCAGTAATTGATCTCTCCTACTTGTGGGAACCTTAATTCTATATATTTTAGAAAGTGTCATGAATCCCGAATTTTGATTGGTGCATGCCCTTTGGGTGAGAGGGCCAATCAGCTGCCAACTCAGTTTTATCGATGTAGGTTAATTCCAAATAGTTGATTGGTGGTTTTCATTGAATAAATATTTTGTCATTTTTTGACACTAATGTAGTAACCATCCAGATTGCTGGTTTGTTATGTTTTTTGACTTACTGTATCATAGATGCTAATCTTATACATGTTTTTTACACACTGTTTCCAGGCTTTATTGTTGTTTAAACTGGACCAATTCTCTCAAACACAAATAAAATTTCAAGCTTGCTAGCGAATTCTTTCAATTTAAACATCAATGAACTCCAGCAAAAATAAATCTTTTATAATTCTTTGATTGTAGATAAATGTACTGTACACATTTTCCATGTGAAAGATAAATAGAAGCAGCCATGTTCATATTGGTTACAAAAGTAGTCCAGTGATCACGGTCTATCAAAAACCAAATGGCTAAAAAATCAATAACATGAAGGTTTCCTTATTATGCAATTCATATAAAAAGCTGAACTATTTATAGTGATGAAAAATCGTCTTGAACAAGCATGAAATATTTGCCACTGGACTTTAAGCAAACAACAATCAATCAAGCATATTATCATTGATGAGATCTTACCTGTAGATAGAATATGAACACAGATCCAGAAATATCCACCATGGTGAAACTGAAATTAAATTCATATACAGTAAACAAAAATATATCAATAGGAGACTTGTTGAAGACCGTACTTTGACCTATAATGGTTTACTTTTTTAAATTTTGACTTGGATGGAGAGTTGTCTCATTGGAACTCATACCACATCTTCTTATATCTATTGATCATCCTTCAATCACTTTTAATATAATTATTCAAACAAAGGGATAGAACTGGGTAAAGGGAAATAACTGTTAAAATCAATATTGTGTTTGTAATAGTCAAGTTTCATCATTGCTTCTAAAGCATTTATGTGAAACAGAATTAAAACTTTGAGTTTTCAGTAATTAGGAAGTTGAAGAGAAAAGAATCTGAAAACGCAATACACAGTAAAGCAAGTTCACAATTCAATTCAGTGTTTCATTAAAGTCTCTTCTCTCAACAAGTACAATCAATATTTATAAATTGTATAACAATACTAAATAAATGTGGATAGTATCCACATGTGGACACAGGTGATGCCCCCGCTTGCATATCATATAGTTATAAAGGGACATAACTGAAGAACGGTAAAAGTGACGCTACCCAAATTTGAACTTAATCTGAGTTTTGTGGTAATAAACATTGTGTGTAAGTCTCATAACATTTTGTTGAGGCTAACTTAAGTAGAGAACAGAAACTAAAAATTCAGCAATTTTTCTATTTGTAAACACACATAACTCTAGAACGGCATTGTGTATAAGTTTTATAACATTTGGTTGAGACAAACTAAAGTTAGAGAACGGAAATGAAAAATTCAGCAATTTTTATGTTTATAAAGGGACATAACTCAAGAATGGTAAAAGTGTCGCCACCAAATTTCTTACTTAATCTGTATTATGAAGTAAAAATGTAATAAGCATTGTGTATAAGTTTCATAACATTTGGTTGAGGTAAACTAAAGTTAGGAAACGGAAACAAAACTTTGTACTTGATCTTAGTTTTGTGGTAATGAATATTGTGTAAAGGTTTCATAATGTTTGGTTGGGGCAAACTTAAGTTACAGAATGGAAACTAAAAGTTTTGCAATCTTTCGATTTATAAAGGGGCATAACTCAATAATGGTTAAAGTGACACTACCCAATTTCAACTTGATCTGTGTTTTATCAGTGGAAGTCAAAATTAAACATTGCATTGTATAAAGCATTGATTGTAGTTGATTCAACTATAATCATGGACAAAGGAAGATAACTCCAATTTTAAAAATTACTTGATATTTAGAAGAAAATAAAAAGTTTGCAATTTTTCCATTTATAAAGGGGCATTACTCTAGAACCGTTAAAGTGACACCACCAAAATTCAAACTTGGTCTGTGTTTTGTGGTAATAAGCATTGTGTATAAGTTTCATAACATTTGGTTGAGGCAAACTTAAGTAAGAGAATGGAAACTTAAAATTATGCAATTTTTCCATTTATAAGGGAGCATAACTCTAGAACGATTAAAGTGATGCCACCAAAATTCAAACTTGATCTGTGTTTTGTGGTAATAAGCATTGTGTGTAAGTTTCATAACATTTGGTTGAGGCAAACTCAAGTTAGAGAACGGAAACCAATTTTGGGATGTACCTACGTACGTACAAACGGACAAGGGTAAAACTTAATGCCCCCACCCCTACGGCGGGGGCATAATAAAATTAGAGCCATTCTATACAGAATTATAAGAGACTATCAAAATTCACATGAAGCTTGAAAACAAATATCAGAGAGCTCTTGTTTTATACATGGCACGTTTGTGTTAGAATAATATATATGTATTCTGTAAACAGGAAGTTGATGAATGATAAATCTGAACAAAGCGTCACATTGTATAACATACTAAATTGATTCCATATAACAAATTTCAGGAAGCTATTATTTTAAGTTCCCTCTAAAAATGCAACAAAATTTCAGACATGGCCATTACATCTAGAACATTTATGTATTCAGTAAACAGAAAGTTAATAATCTGTAATCTTGTCACACAGTATAGCATACTGACATGAAGCCAAATACATACTTGCCATCTTTTCAAAATGTCCATGAGGAATTTTAAGCGTAAGATGACCTAATGCTCCTCTTATATTGTCATAAGTGTTTTCAATCTACTACTACCTGTTGTTTGAATGAGTATATATGTGCTTAAATAGACCCTTTTAACTCATTTGAATGCCTGTTTTGAGGTGTCAAGTTTATATGATAAAGAATTTCAAAATTCAGGTCAACACCTCTCATATGCATGGAGGATATCCCCATAAATCGGGATAGTTGGCAGGTCTGCAAATAATATAAATATTCAATACCAGGAAGCTCTGATTTGAGAAAAATGTTACAACTTGCCATATCAAAATTTCTATTTTTAATCAATATAAGTATTTTTTGTGTCGACAAAGCTTAAGCCTACCTGTGGATCTGTTAACACTATTCCTAAAGATGAGATAGCTATCACCATACACATAAGGTAATTTATTGCACTTGTAAGCTGTAAAAATTGAAAAATAACTCATACAATTTATTTATACTTGCCAAAAATTGCCTTGTAAGAGAACACTTTTACTTCATTTGATGAAATTGTTTTCTGATATAACCAATTATTCTTGTATATTCTTGATCCTTCATTTGCACCCTTTACTTAAAAAATGTAACAATTAATTTTCTAGTAATTTCAGATAGATGATTGAGTGGTCTGTTGAGGTAAATGAGTGATCTGCAGATCTCATTAGATTTAATGATTTTTTGCATCCAACTAAAGGATGGTGAACTGCATATGTATTTTGAAAAAGATATAAAAGTAATGTTTATACTTTCGAAGATAATAGTATATTAAATATCCTTTAGAGATAAGCGCAAATCTAAAGGATGCAAGTAAATATCGCAAAAATTAAAGAATTTAACTTAAAACTGTCTTTGTCTCAAAAACTTGATAATATATATGTATATATATAATTATGTCAATGTAGAATGAACATTTATGATAGCCCTGCTACAAGTATTCTGTAAATAGGAAGTTGATGAGTGATGGATAGGAAAATGCATCACAAAGTATAACATACTCACATGAAGCTAGATATTAATTTTCAGAAAGCCTTAATTTGCATTTCTTGAGAAAATTGGACAAATGGATGGTCTTTTGGAAACACAGATTGAAAGACAGAGAAGGGGCAGAATTATTTGTGACATATCTGTTTATGCAACACAGAACCTCATTAAACCATCTAAACCTACCTTTCTATAAATGATCATTTGAGATAAATAATCAAACACCACCGTAATATTCTGTATGGCTAAAAACACTGGTATAGACTAAAAAATAAAAGAACAAGTTTTGTTAAAACACAGGTATGGACTAAAAAAAAAGACCAAGTTCTGTTAAAACACAGATACAGACTGAAAAAAAAAGCATCAAGCATCATACAACACTGGTATAAACTGAAAAATAAAGAATCATGCAACCATTGTTTTAACACAGGTATAGACTATGCAATGCACATGTGGCCCCCTTTTTAACAAGTTCAACTTAAGTATTCATTTTCAGTCATTTGAATTTAAATTAGTCACGACAGGCAAATATGAGACTTCCAGATCCTTGGTCTTTGGGCATGTCTGCAAACAAAATTTAAAGTACATATTACTTGGCATGAACATATCAGTTTTAGACTTGCAACAAGCCACCAAGAGGCTGACATATACAATAGACTATTTTCATATTACCAACTTTTGACTCCAGATTATATAATTTTTCATCAGGTTACCTATTCTGTGGTAGGACATCCTGGTACAAGGCCAGGTAAGAGCAACTATAAGAAAAATCAAACATATAATCGTTGCAATTTGGGGGTAAAGTTTACTGTTTTTCCAATGATTGTGTTGTGTATAGAAAACATAAAACAGAAAATTTTCCTCTAAAATTCTACCGATTGTAAGCTTGATTTTACTTCTTTAAGTTGCTCATACTTGACCGAGTACCAGGATGTCCTATTAAAGAGTAGGTAACCTGTCCAAAAAATATAAACTCAGGAGTCAAAAGTCGGTAACATGAAAATAGTCTATTGTCTAAATACAAGCCTCAGATAGATTTTATTAGACCAGACATATAAACTGAGTAAAAGGGGCCTCGGTGGCCTAGTGGTCTAAGTAGTTACTACTGTAATCACTAGCCAGTCAACATTGAGGTTGTGAGTTCGAATCCCGCTCGTGCGAGTGCACTTGACTTCAATCTTAATTGACTAGGATTGTCAGTTTTCCTATCGAAGGTTGGTGGTTTTCTCAGGGCACTCCGGCTTCCGCCACCAATAAAAACTTGCCGCCACGAAATAGCCCAAAAGCAGTGCTTAAAAGTGGCGTTAAAACACCAAAAATCAAAATCAAATTAAACTGCATGAGTAAAACAGAAGTATAAAAACATTTGAAATACTGTAAACTCAGAAATTTGTGTATGCATTTAATATCTTTTATTGCGATTGTTGGAGAATGTGCAAAAATGCGATGTAAATTATCGTAATTCTATGAAATGATACAAATAAATAATGTTATCAAAATCAAAAAGCTAGTTATCAAATTTTTTTTTTTTGACAGCTATTTTCTACACAACTTTTGTTAAAATTAAAACCCTTTTTTTTTAATTCACTGTATTAAATTTTGTTTAAATACCACATGAACACAGCATCAATATCAATGAGTTTTAAGTCCTGTATTAATCTGCTGAAACTGTCTATATTTCTACTTACCAACTCTGCCAAACCTTTTGATCCTGAGTATATAGAGATCACAAAGAAAACCATTGAAGGTATCCATCTTATTAGGTCACTTCTGTAAAAAAAAACCTTCTGAAGTAATAATAGATATATCGGACTACTTGAAAATTTGAAATATTGATAATATAAAGCAACTTCAGCTTACTTTCACATACTTTTTTTTAAAGATTAATCTCCTTCTATACTACTTTGTGTAGATTTATATTTGCAATTTTCTAAATATTGCTGGTTCATTTATACAAGAGAAGATCTACATTACATATTTTTTGAACAATTTATAATATTCATGTTATAAAAATAAGAAGAGGCTGTATGATTGCCAATGAGGCAACTATCCATCAAAGTTCAAATGAAGTGGGTGTGAAACAATTATAGGCAACTGTATGACCTTCAACATTGTTAGCTCTCTAGTCATGAAATAAGCAATAATGAATTGCTCATAAATAGTTAGATTAGGGTACCTTTTATCGCTATCGGTGAGCTGCATCGGTTTCAGATAGCGTGTTGCTACTAACATCTTCATTACCAAAAAACCTACTAATGTTTGCCATCTACAAGTTTAAGATAAATCACTATTCACATAGACATAATAGAAGCATATACATTGTATGTGAAAATCTTTAAATACTTATATGAAAAATAAGGACAAGATTCATTTTTGGTCAAATATGGCCTTGAGTTTCAACTTTATCATAAAATATCAGAAATGCCATAATTTGGTTCTTAAAAGAATATATTTCAAAAGTCTTGATGCTGGGTTAAATCATTTTTTCATAAGAGTATAGGCTCCAAAGTCAGCACATTTTGAATCCTTAGACACAACTATAATCTAGATCAAGTGTTGCGGCAAAAGTTAATTCTGCCAAAAACTGTCATAAATTACAATATTGGATCAAAACTGAAGTTACAACACAAATAAAATGCATAATGAATGGGTCCTTATTTGTAATTTATAATGTAATTTGACAAAAGAAGATGTTTTATAAAAACAGTCACATCACACTATTGATATGTGAAATATGTAATATTTTGGCCTGAATAAAAAATTACATTAAAATCATAGGGTTAATTTCAACCCTTTGTGAACCTACTCCTTTACATCAGTTGACCCATTAATGTTCTAAAATAAATGGGGAATGTGTCCATAGGACACAGATGATGCCCCTGCTTGCATATAATGTTATAAAGGGACATGACTCAAGAAATGTAAAAGTGACACTACCCAAATTCATACTTGATCTGAGTTTTGTGGTAAAAAACATTGTGTATATAAGTTTCATAACATTTGGTTGAGGCAAACCTAAGTTAGAGAATGGAAATAAAAAATTCAACAATTTTTCCATTTGTAAAGGGGCATAATTCTAGAACAGTAAAAGTGACGCCTTCAAAATTTAAACTTGATCTGTGTGTTGTGGTAATACGCTTTGTGTACAAGACTCATAACATTTGGTTGAGGCAAACTTAAGTTAGAGAACGGAAACGAAAAATTCAGCAATTTTTCCATTTGTAAAGGGGCATAACTCCAGAAAGGTAAAAAATGATGCCACCCAAATTCTAACTTGATCTGTGTTGTGTTGTAATTAGCATTGTGTATAAGTTTCATAACATTTGAATGAAAAACAAAACTCAGAGAAACTGAAACCAATTTTGGGACATAGACGTACAGATGTACGTACGGACAGACGGACGTACAGACGGACAAGAGTTAAAATTGATGCTCCTTCCGCTATGTACAGCAGAGGCATAAAATTTTTTCCATCTGTCATTCATAATTATACTTCTGTTAAATTGAAAATGCTTCCTTTTGTACTAGACACAAATAATTCATTTGTCTATAATTCCTCAGTACTATACATTTTGTAACATAAATACATATATGAGTTATGCCTCTTTACAAATGGAAAAATTGTTGATTTTTTTATTTCCATTCTCTAACTTAGGTTTGCCTCAACCAAATGTTATGAAACTTATACACAATGCCTTTTACCACAAAACTCAGATCAAGTATAAATCTGAGCCAACCTGACAGCTTGATAAGACGAGACAAATGTAAAATAATTTCTATTTTCAGAACAAATCTCTTATTTTGTCTGACAGATTTCAAGTGCAAATTGTATACAAATCTGGTATGCTTCCTAGCTTCTAAAACCTGGTCTGCTTTATTGCGAAAGAAATGATACTTTTCAACAGATTCACTTGAAGGTTACCTGTCGATTTAAACTTTTGTAAGTTCTTTTGTCCCATCTAATAAATACAATAGCTATTGTTCTCTGTGGAGTTTATTGGATGGGACCTTTAAATTTCTTCTAAGAGAAATCCATCACTTATTGATTAATTAACCTGAACAAAAAATTTAACTTTCAATGATGAAAATACATGTACCAATACTAAATAAGGACACACAAAACTGTATGTGATGTTGTATTTTTTCAATATCATCAATACATTTTCAATTTGTTCAATATAAACACTGATACAAAAATTAAAAGATGATTTCTGACAAAGATTTCAATATTGTACTATTGAAATTTGGTTTTTTTGTGTGTTTGACAAATAAAAACTGGAAAATGATGATGTTTAAATTAAGGCCTTCTTAAATGTATTCTATAACTGAACAACCACAAAAAAAATGCAAATTCAATTGGAACAATATACTATTAAAAATTTTGTCAAAAATAAACTTTACATAATCATGATAATTTAATCAGTGTTTATATTGAACAGATTGAAAATATATTATTGATATTGAATAAATTCAACATCACATGCAGTTCTGTAGTTTATACATCTATTTTAATCAACTAAGAAGATATTTTTTTTGGTCAGGTAATTTAATTAATGAATGATAGATTTCTCTTAGACGAAATTTAAAGGTCCCAGTGAATAAACTACAGAGAACAATATAGGATTAAACACATTTTTTCTAGAGGTTATTGATGTGTAAACCGGGGCGATTAACTCACAAACTGAATAAAAGTCCGAAGGACTTTAATGTAAAGTTTGTGAGTAAGAGACCGGTTTACACATCAATAACCTCTAGAAAAAATGTGTTTAATCCTTATAATTCTTAAGCCAAATATTCGCGATTTTTAATTAACATTTTTTTGTGTAAAGGCTACTATAATTACCATCAAATGAACAATTGGCAGGTCGTAACTAAGGAGTTGGTCGCCATATTGACTTTCTAAAATCCATAAATGTTCAATAAATGCAACGGAATTTAAAATGAAATAGCACCTACCTCCAAAACTTCATTTTATTTAGATATTATCCGAATTGGAAGCGTACAAGTAACGAAATAATCTTTCCCTTGAAAGTTTTCATTCGTATGACGTCGTGTTTTGCCATGACGTAAATTCGCCAGATCATTCATGAAATTTCGCGGAATTTTATTTAAATTTTAATTTTATACATTTTCGAAGCTTTAGTGCATTTATTTTATTCATTTCTTGTTATAAATACATTAGAATAGAAACAACTGTTATGCATTTGTTTTTTAAATCTCAATTTGCTTAAATTCCCGGGATCCCTGCAAGCATGTGTATCGCGCATGAATAGATTACGAAAGTAGTTTCGGGAACATGGTTTATCAAAGTGTAAACCAACAGAAAAATTCTAATTGACCAATCCAATTCAAGTATTTATAGATATGCAAATCATATAAGAATTATTAGCTATTGTATTTATTCAATGGGACAAGTGAACTGACAAAAGTTTAAATACCTTGACCAAGTGGAGATGACTCTGTGGAAAACTTTCATTTGGTTCGCAATAAATGGTTGTAACTATCAATAGAAAATTACCATAATAACTGCACAATTTCAAAGATACAGATTAATATAAGTTAACAGCTTGTTTCCGGATCCTATCAATTATTCATTTGTATTAATATGTTAATGCTAAACTTTGTTTATTATCTAACTAGAATTTAATGAATAAAATATGTTTACATTACATAAAGTGTAAAACATTTTTGGACTTTCTGTGCATTATCAATACTGTTTTCAGATTATGTTTAATATATATTTAGCAAATGCATTGCTTTCATAAAAAAAAAACATTCAGAGAATATGTAAATAATAAAAATTCACATGACTGGTGATTGAAAACTGCATACTAAACATATTTGTGAATAGGCCTATTAAAACAGTGATATTTTTCTGTTTTGGTTGATTTTTTGTTTGTTTTTTATTTTTGTGGGGGAAGACAGGAGTGAGGGGGTTAGGGTTTTTGTTTTTGTTTTTGTTTTCTGTTTTCTGTTTTCTGTTTTCTGTTTCTTGTTTCTTGTTTACTGTTTATTATTTATTGTTTTAGTTTATTGTTTTATCTATAAAAGGTTATATATACAAAATAAATGTACTAGTAAACCTTTTATTTCAACTCTCAAGTATGACAAGACCAGTTACTTCCCTTTTACCAGTATATGGATTTATTTCTGTCATATTCTAAGAAATTGTTTAAGAAAGAGCCAGATGCTTATGTATGATACAATTATGTATACTTAAAAGAAAATCTCTACTCTTTGTATTAAAATATGATAAAAACCTACCCTTGGAAGATAGTTGGATATTTGAATTCTAAGATGGAAAGCACATACTGTAAAATAAAGGTCATTAATTAATGCAAATAAAACTAATTTTGCTGAGATATAAGAGCACAAAACAAAATCAATCACAGTTTATACTGTGCAAGAATGATATGATTCTGCTAAAAATCTGTTAAACATTTTTTTTAAATACAACTGTAAATAATTATCAATGTGAAAAATGGACTTCTTTTAGTACTAGTAGAACTTATAAACACTAAATTTTACATACTGTGGATTCAGTATTATTCGTTGGGTACCAATTTTCGTGGATTTCGTGGTTATATGTTAACCACGAAATTAAAAGTTCAACGAATGGCAAATTTACTATAGGCTTGTATGCAGACATTGTCAAAAACCACGAAATTAAATATCCACGAACATGTAAGTTTTCCTTAATCCACGAAAATTGGAACCCACGAAAATAAATGAATCCACAGTAGCTGTTTTTCTTTTCTTAGACAAGCACCCTATGGTTCAAGTCTGATCTTTTTTAGTGAATGATTGATTAAAAATAAAACAAATTTTAAATGTTTTCTAGTATCCCACATATAAAGTGAATGTTATGCATTATAAAAACAAAACCTGAGAAGTCCATTTCCAGTATGAATGATGTTGAAAATAATGTATGTATATCGTTATTGAAATCTGGTCGTTGCCCTACATTTCATAGAAAATACAATGCAAATAAACTAGACAATTAGATGCATGATAATGATCATCTCAACAAACCTTATTTACAAATGTAGTGATTACAAACAAAACTGCATAAAGACGTAGCTGTGAAAATGTCGTCCAACAGGTAGAAGCTGTCATGCTGGGTTCTATCTGTTTTGTAGAATTCTGGCCATTATCTTGGGATTCAAGCATAAAGATGTGTTACCAAAGGATTCATTGGTGCAATTTTTTTATAGAACTATTTTTTCTATATATAGTATATGCGCCAAACCCTTTATCAGCGTCTATAGTAGAGCTTTATAATCTGAAAAAAAAATTAGAAAATATTTTCAAGAATTATTATTACATAATGTAGATTTTGTTTTAACATAGTTGGTTTTCTGATCAGTCTGTCTCAACTTTCTCATACCAACCGAACCAGGTATCCTATATGATGTCCACAGAGGGACCAGTCTAAATTCATGTACCACCCGGGGTATCCTATATGATGTCCACAGAGGGACCAGTCTAAATTCATGTACCACCCTGGGTATTCTATATGATGTCCACAGAGGGATAATTTTAAATTCAAATACCACCCGGGGTATCCTATAAGATGTCCACAGAGGGTCCAGTCTAAATACATGTACCACACGAGGTATCCTATATGATATTTTCAGAGGGATCATTTTAATTTCAAATACCACCCGGGGTATCCTATATGATGTCCACAGTGGGACCAGTCTAAATACATGTACCACCCTAGGTATTCTATATGATGTCCACAGAGGGCAGTCTAAAGTTACACTTAAAAATATCACCAGACTCTGTTCCTCTATTTCTTCAAAAGTTTCTGACCAAAACTTGCATAAGGTAAAAATCATCATCTTAGGGCAATATATAAGTTATCTGACAATTTCAGCTATAACCAGAGACCAAATGACATAGAAATTAATAAATTCATGTTGATTAACTTGTTTTGTTGATCCTTTTAATTTTTTTTTGCTGTTTACCATTTTTCAAAGGATGAAAGAAGACAAAGGCAAAGTGTTTGAAAAAGCTAACACTCGCCCTTAGGTCCAGGTGAGCTAACAAAGTAGTTTTATTCCACCCTCATTCATTTGTCTGTTCAATAAATTCAGAAACATAATGTCAGTGATTATTTAATATAGTAGGACATATCTTAACTTTTTTGTTATTTCGGCATTGTCTATTCCTTAATTATGTCATGTATGTGTGATGTTATTCAAAATTGTATTTATTAGTTGTCATATTTATGATAGTACAATGTACTTTTAAACTGTTAAATTATATATATAAATATTCAGAACTTTCTAGGCTTAAATTGTGGCAATGTTACAAAGCTTATACAAATAAGGAGAAGTGGTATGATTACCAATGAGACAACTTATAATCCCTGAGAGCTCAATGATGAAAATAAAAGTAATTAAATGTCACTGTATTACCTTCAACAGTGAGATAAATACATACTATATAGACTAAGACATTAATAAAAGGCCCTGACATGAAAAATATGAAACATGAAAACTAACGGTTAAATCATAATGATAATTTTAGCCTGAAACAATTTTTCCGCACTGTTAGATGCTCAGTTGATAACAATACATAAAACAATTAAAAATCAAAGATTTAACTTCCTTTAAAATGAAAACTTTCCTAGTAAATTTAATTCATTGAAATTATAATTCTATTGTTGGAATTGATGCTGTTGAACTTCAAAGAAAAGTATTACTCACACAGATAAGTTGGGACTAAATCAATATTACTGCTTTTCTTAAAACACAATCCTTCAACAATGAATAAATGGATGTAGAGATCCTAGTAATCAGGAATTAGATAATTTAGTCTTTATCTTTGTTGTCATGTTTGAGGCCAATATGACATTTTTCTTTCATAAATCAACCAAATATAATTTGTCATAGTAACGGTACTCTAGTTAAGAATAAAATGCTTGCCGAGCACAGCCTGATACGACCTCAGAGGTCGAACCCTGAGCAGTTGGTGCAAGTTTGGACACAATAATCAAGCTTGATACTGTCTGAATTTGGATTCTGATCAAATTTTTGACATAAAATAGGTTTTTGACACAAAATAAATGTGGTCAAAGATCTTAAAAATTTGAAATGAGTTAAAATATTTGTATTAATTTTCAATTGAAGATTTCTTGCTATTGCACAATACTGTGATATTGAGCAATACTTTGCAATTGAAGATTTCTAGCTATTGCGCAATACTGTGATATTGAGCAATACTGTGCTATTGCACAATACTGTGCAATTGCAGATTTCTTGCTATTGCGCATACTGGGCTGTTGCACAATACTTAGTTAATCTGTTATATATAATAAATTACATATCCTGTTTAGTGTGCATCTACTGCCATATCAGTATTTTTGCTTTTATATATAAATCAGAAATAATCAATGTAAGCATTATACAACGCAAACATTTTTTGGGGTCGTATAAAAAGTTGCTTTTCAATAATTTTCATTTGTTTACACATGTTACAGGTTTAAGCCAAATGTTTAATTCATCAATCTATTGACCTTTTATCAGAAAATCAACTAGTTTGTCTTCTAACTAGGTTACTAAGGCCAGTCAGGGGTTCTACTTGTACAAGTTATTTTTATTTACTTGAAGAAGTAAATATTAATATACTTATATAAGTAAAATTGTAAGATACTTATACAAGTGTATTTTATTTACTTGTATAGGTAAATTTGTTTAACGGCTTAGTTATGTCCCTTAGACATTCAGATTTTTTTACTTATACAAGTAAAAAAGTCATACTATCTTCATTTCTTGAATTTCTCAGTACTTCCTTCCTCTAATAGAATTTTCAATTGTCTGTCCTTTGCAGATGTCCTTACTAATCATTGAAGTGTAATTTCATGGACAATGAAAATCTCATTTGTCTGTTATCTTCAAAACACTGCTCATTTACAAGTCACCAAGGGGCAATTTTTGAAGGCCTTGCCCAATACTTAAGATCTTTGCTCAGTTAGTTTCTCTATTGAATTAATGAGATGAAACATTGAACTCTTATCAAAATTATGAGCTAACCAGAGAAAAATTGTTTAAGGCATGAATTTACATCCCAAAACTGGAGAATTTTAGGGATTGTAAAAAAACAATTACTTAATATACAAGTAAATTTTTGGAGAAAATTAAGGGGAGATTATTCAAACTTTATAAGAAAAGATGAATATAACAAATTTACTTATATAAGTATATCATTATTTACTTCTTCAAGTAAATAAAAATAACTTGTACAAGTAGTACCCCTGACTGAAGGGAAATTTATTAACTTCAACAAAATCAAGTCAATCAAAAACAATCGTTTTCCACAAAAAAAATTCCTTAGTAATTTGTTCTTTTAAGTACATCTGAATTGACGTTTGTGATGAGAAAGTTTCACAATAAATCCAGTTACACATGAAAAGTTTGAAGAAAGACGGTTCTTCATTTTCTATTTTGTTATTATCTGTACATCAATCTCAATGTTTTTTTCTTCTCTATAATGGTATGGATGGGGGGGGGGGGGGGGGTCCTTCAATTCTGTAGCCTTGAATTTTTTATGTCATTTTCTCTATTCTTTTTTTATTTTGCCCATTATTCTCTATTCTTTATTTTCTTGCACCCCATTATTCTCTATTCTTTATATTCTTGCACCCCATTATTCTCTATTCTTTATTTTCTTGCACCCCATTATTCTCTATTCTTTATATTCTTGCACCCCATTATTCTCTATTCTTTATTTTCTTGCACCCCATTATTCTCTATTCTTTATATTCTTGCACCCCATTATTCTCTATTCTTTATTTTCTTGCACCCCATTATTCTCTATTCTTTATATTCTTGCACCCCATTATTCTCTATTCTTTATTTTTATGGCCTATTTTTCTCTATTCTTTATATTTTGCACTTTATTCTAAATATTTTACCCATTATACTCTATTCTGTAAATCCCATCCACACCCTCCTTTATCATCTGTTCATCAATCCAACACTATACTTGGAAACTCAGTTTGTCTGCCCATATATATTGAATGATTTCAACTTACAAGTGCCATTTTCTACGTGAGAGTTGGAAAGATACTGAAGTTTATTCACTAAGAACAAATGAGTAAATGACTGAAGTTAGATTAGAAGGTAGGTAAAGTGAATATGTTATGAATAAAGATAGCAAATAAATTTTAGAGATACTTTGCTTTCTTTGATTCATGTAAAATTATGCAATATGACCTCACTTGGTTTGTTTTAATATATGTAGAAATTTTGTGAATTAAAAACTACATGTATTTAGGGAAAACCCATTTAATTATGAGGAGGGGGGAGAGGGGATTATGTTTTTAACTACAAAAATATTCTCAACTTCAAAGAAAAAAAAGTGTTTGATCAGGTAGGAAAAAAAACAAATCTGTATTAAAAAATGATTTGATGCTTGCTAAAAACATTCCAGAATGAAAAAAAATCATGACCTCTCCCTCAAAGTTAAATGGTTGCTCCATTAGGGTGAATGACAATAATTTGAAAAATCAGAAGTTAAGTATGAAGCTAAACAACAAGCATTGTGGATTTTGCGTTTTCCATCTGCCCACAGTGAACTGCCCACAGTGGACAGCCCACTCTAGCTATATTCACTTTTTGTTTGTAAAAATATTGATTGCTTATCTGCTTTTTGCAATTGATTGTACTTGCTACTCTTTGATTCAACAAAAGAATTTGCAGGCCCACTCCTATGGGTGGGCAGAGTGGACAAGCAAGAAATTTTGCCCACCTGGTGCCCACTCCCACTGTGGGTGGGTGGACAAAGCAAAATCCACCTGAACTGTAGTGTACCAATTGGGAAACTAATTGCCATAAGTCGAAGAATGACAAAGACCATTAGCAAAAGAAAAAGACAAACAGCAAACCACAAAAACTATAGAATAAAAGACAGCTGCACAACCATCCACAAATCTGTGGCAGCGTACACTGTATGTAGATTCAGTAACTTTACAGAATCCACCATATCATTGGTATTTTTAGATTGATCCAACATTGCTGTGCCCTATAATAAATTATATCAGTGATATATTGATGTGATGTGGGTGCTCAGTCATTTATTTTTTGATGCACACATGTTGTGTTGTTCCATACATTATTATAAAACTTATAAAGACTGAATTCCTAAACTCACGTAATCATGGTAATGTGAACAGCCTTTACTTGGGAGATTAATTTTATAAAAAAAAAAAGAGAGAAAAAAAAAATAAATATATTATGTACAATAAGTTTGAGGTGAATAATAAGCTGAATTTAG